ACTAAATATCAATATGGCCGATTTGTGTGTTCGCCTCTGGTACCATAACCTATAACCTATTTCGCGAGATGAAATTGATTGTCCGTTGTCTTCGCAATATTCGTTTTCAATTAACTTTTGATTAAAAAGTATTGTTCATTATTTTCATTATTTGTTATTTTTTTACTATCATCTTTTTTTATTATTATTACTACCGTTTTACTATTATTACTATTATTATTTTATTACTATTATTTTTTACTATTATTATTTTTTATTATTTGTCAAGAATATTATATAAGTAGGCACCTAAATTTGTGATATTTACTTATATATATATATTACTCTGTAATTTTAACACTAGAAACTTCAACATCAAAGTGGTCAATTAACCAATTTATAATTTTCAATAGAAATTTTATACATTTACATATATTTACACTTTACATATTTTCAGATATTTGAGCGATTTTCGAATAAAATATATCAATAATAGCTTGCGATCTTTATTGTATCATTAACTTTTTCTTGTATCTGGCACCTTTTAATTTCTTTGCTAGAAATATTATACTTTAGTCGTCGGTAATTCTAGTGTTAACTCTGTAAATCAATGGAATAATTTCCTTCGCCTCAGACATCACTGAACGCTAACAATAATGTTTATGAAAATTTCATTTTGCGACGAGATGAATAGCTCAAGATGAGTACATGAGAAGTTGGTTCTCGGTGAGGTTTTCAACTAGGAATTTTGCCTGAATTGAATAAGACGCTGACGAAGAAGAAAGGAGGAACACGAGCGATCGAGATAAGCGAGGGGATATTTTCTTGATTCGAAAAAAAAGATGAAATCAGCATTGAAGGTTCCGAGTTGAGGAACGTGATGTCGCGTGAAACAAGAGGACAAATGATCTTTACTCACTTGCGCTTGTCCGCAAATTGTGGATGGTGTTCGTTAAAAGGTAACGCACGTCATCATATGTGGATCATAATAGATTCACTTTTCACTGGCAATTTCAATAGCCAGGTCCAAAAATTTATCAGATCTATCAGCACGCAATTCGTTCCATCGTTTCCAGGGATGTCAAACAATTTTAATTACCCGATGATAAATGTAACTTCTTCTTAAACATGAGAATTTCAACGGTGGATGATTATTTAAACCAGGTGTGTCAAAATTGGTCATGTATAATTGAATAAGCATTTTATCATACCTGAATAATTATACCTTTTTACTTTAATTTAGAGTGTTTTAATAACTAATTACGGAAATTTCCAAGAGCCAAATTAGAAAAGTTTTTTGTATTTAAACATTTGCTACACCATTCTAAGTTGATGACAATATGTTGCCAGCAAACATACAAATGGGATGTATTGAGTTGCAATCAGACATACAACTCAAGGAAAAATTTATCCAAGTGTTTCTATTAGACTTTTAGAAACTACAACTGCCTAAAGAAAAATATTCAGCATTTCGCGAACATGCGTTGTTCATGATATTCTTATTGGGGAGTATGTACTTATATTTGCGAGTAAATTCTTTCTCCTATAAGAAGCACACAAAGAATAAAACGAGAACAAAAATTTCAGACGAGCATCTTGATTGCCACTATGTATCAAACCGGATATTGATGAATTGAAATGCAAAAAACAAGCTTAAAAATTTTTATATCAATTTTTTTCAATTTAAATATAATTTTCTAATCAATGCATTGTTTCACTATTGTTGAAAGTTGTTTCTAATATCCTCTAATGAATAATATAGGTCACATTGAAGTGACAAAA